GACTTGTACCCGCTCCCTTCGCTATCCGGGCGAATGCACTGTCCATAATGCTACCGTGGCCCTGATGGCCGTGTCGAATTTTCTCTAGCCTTTCTTAAGCTGCAAGGTAGTGCCATCTCTTCGCCTTGTAGGTAAACCAAAATGTCAAATGGTTACCTTTACAGGTATTAATCATTTGAAAGAACAAATAGCAATTATAGTTATGTTTTTAACATCTAGCAGTTACATGCTTATAAAATAAAAAATATAACTTTATTTTATTTTAAATATTTGGATAGCTCCAATATAAATAGGAAATGACTATCATGGTACCAAATAATTCATAGTGTAATCCTGAATTATCTTACCAATATATTCTTCTTTCTCTTTCTTTATCAGCCTTATAGGCCCTAAGAGACATCGCAAACTAGGCGTCTTGTCGTCGCTTCTTGTCGCGGCGTTGTCTTTGTTGCATTTGGTGTCTTGTCGCCGCGACTAGACGCGGAGCTCTCGCTAGCGCCGGCGACTAGAAGTAATGATAGGCATCGTGCAGGAAGCGATCATTAGTAGTGGAGTATTCGAGGGAGAGGAGGCAGTGTTGTTCATCTTGTGAGTGAATATGGAGCCTCTAGTTGCACTTGCCTTGGTGCTTATCTATATCAATAAAATAAACACATGCACCTTCCTCAGCGCTCACAGCGAGACTGACGCTGAGCTGTCGCGCGACTGTCGTCGTATTTGCGCGTGCACAGCGCGACTAGACGCGGTGACAAGTAGCGAGCACGCTCAACTCCCCCAGTTTGTTGTCGTGACTCCGCGACTCTGAGTGTGCGAAGCTTTGAACAACATATATAAAATTGTCGGCCGCAACCTGTCGTCGCGTCTAGTCGCCGAGCTGTCGCTGTCGTGTGTCGCCTAGTGTGTGTTAGAATAAAATATTTGAAAAAGCAATCTGTAATCGCGGTGTCAAGTTTTGTGAAAAATACAAAATATTTGATGACAGTCAAAACGGCTTTCGAAAGAACCGATCCACTACTCTAGCTGTATATAAATACATTAATGAAATAGTTAAAAAAATAGATAAAAAACAGTACGGAGTAGGCATTCTACTAGATGACGAAGGCGTACGATAGGGTGCAACATAACATACTTCTAAAAAAATTGTACGATATAGGAATCCGCGGCCCTGCCCATATGGTTTTCATCTTATTCACGAGATAGAAAACAATTTGTAGAGATAGAACACTTCGATAAAAAATCCAAAAAATACACGCATGTATACTCCGACTGCAGGGTTATAAATGCATCAGTACCCCAGGGAAGTGTTGCTGGGTGTTTATTGTTTTTAATTTATATAAACGACTTTCCTAAAATTATTGAGGAGCCATGTGTACTATTTGCAGATGATATATCCATACTAACTTTTTGCGAAGATAATACCGACATTAACAAAAAACTGGACGCGATCCTTGCTAAAACTTCTGACTTGTTAAATGACCATAACCTTAAAATAAATATAGCGAAAACAAAAATAATGACCTTCCACCCGCATCAAAAGAAAGAATTAAAATTGTCAGTAAATTACATGGGCAAAACTATAGATTGTGTTAAGGATTTTTCTTTATTAGGTATAGTCATAGACACGCCATTTAACTGGAAAGCACATGTAAGGAAAATAAAATCTAAGTTATCGAGTTTTTCTTATGCACTTCGTGAAGTTAAAAAGACTACTAACGTGGAAACTACAATTGTAACTTAATGCGCATTATTGGCTGAACTATGATATCACCTACTTTATTTACATTGCAGAATAAACTAATCCGTATTATTGCCAATATAGATAATACCGAAAACTGTTGACCGTACTTTCAAAAGTACAAGATAATGCCCCTGCCTTGTTTATACATACTAGAGATATACAAAACGAGAGAATTTACATATGAAATATTCCTTGCGATGTAAAAACAAATTAGTACTGCCAAATTCACGCCTCAAGCTAAACTTAACAAGTACCTTCAACTTTTCTATAATCATATATAACCATTTACCAGAGACATTAAGAAACGAGACTAATGACATTCTATTTATAAAAAAATTAAAACTGTTATTAATAGAGAAGTGTTACTTTAGTATTAACGATTATTTGAGTGACAATCTTAAGTAAATAGCGACTATCATATACAAAATGCCAATAAAATGATACCTACACAATACAATGACATACTTATACAATTATACACACAAACATACTTACATAAATATTATTTAACTTGACATTAAGGGATAGCATTTTTATTTTATTTTTTATTATTAAATATTATCTGCCTATTAATTAATTGTTTATATAGATTGAATGATTTTTATCTTAACTTATATAAATAGTGACAACTTATATAATACTGACATTCAGTACCTAACTCTTTTAATCTGTAAACTAACATAGAAATTTGAATGTAACTCCTCTCTTTTATCTCTCATTTAGTTGCGTGCCCGACAGGGTCCATAATGATCGTATATTGTCATAACTTATATTTAACATCTTTTTGGACATTGTGGATATGCAATAAACGAATTGAATTGAATTGAATAGAATTTAGTTCCTATTAAATAACTCGACAATCATCTATATAGAGTTTAGATGAGATTCTAAAAAAATCCAAACGAGGTATTATTTCAGATCAAGTTTGGTGATTCAGTTAAACAGTTGATTGGAAACTAACAAGAAGATGGTTTTTGTATACATGTCAACATCATTTTTAAGAAAATATCCACAAACAAAAATGAATCTATACATAGGAGGCGATTCTGGCATGATTCTCTAAACCTCAACCTAAATTTGACAACAGTGTAGCCTTGCTAATCCCTATATAAAACGAAAAAGAGAGCCTATTTTTTAATTTAGTTTTAAGTTAAGATCATCACGTCAGGATCGACACCATTATATTGTTTAAATCTCTTTGTCCACAAATAATACGAGCAAATGAAATGGAGGTCACATTGACATTTTGTGAGAATAAAAATAAAGCACGTTTACCTATCTTAAACAAATAAAGGGCATATAAAAATAGCTTGAATCATAAATATCTTTATTCGTTCTTAAATACGAGCTAGAAGTAAAGCCGCATATATACTTGCCTTTCTTGTTGTCTCGTGATGTGATGTGTCAGAGAGGTATCGGATTCAAGCATTTAATACGATTAGAATTGTACTCTAACCGTACTAAATGTATAAAACCGGTACATCTCTGTCGTGTCGCGACAAAACACGACGGACAAGTATATTTGCGGCCTAATACCAACGATATTAAATACCCTAGATACACCACGTTCGCTCAAAATGTCCCAATAAAGAAGTGCTTGAACACGACTCAAGCACTTCTTGGTTCACATCATGTTCACAGTCACGCGCGGACCGTTGAAAAGTCAAGATGCCGCTGAGCTCCGTGAAAAAATACGAATTAATACTCATAGTACGTAAAGTGTCCTTTTCCGACAGGTATCTAATAAATGTTTGTTAATTTAATGCATTTGAAGCAAATTTTGTTCTAAAACTTACTATACTAACTTATTAATTAGAAAATATTTTTGATATTCAAATGCATGGTCGGTAATATAGCTGTCTCCTTTTCTTGCGGTCCGTACCTACATATTGCTAACAGCGCATTCAGAATTGCGCGTAGAGTCAAAAGAAAATAGGTATTTATTCTTCCGCCTATAGCAATAAGTAAATAAAAATCATAAAGCAATAAAATTTTACGAGCTTGCATTTTGAACCGGTTAACCGTTAACTCTTTGACGCATTCGTTTAAATTAAGACCTTATACAGTATGTATTTACTAAAGGTGATTTTATTTTATTTTAAAAATGCCATATAGTTTTTGACTACGCGATCATGTCACGGAGCTCCGTGGATCGTCCATTGTACCTTTTGGACAGGTTCCGACCACGATTTTGTTCGTGATGTTGTATATTTTATATCGTTGCCTAATACTCACATCGAACACCTAGAGATTACCTACACACTATGCCAGCTTCATAGGCGAATATTGAACTCAAACGCAAACCTTGAAGTGCTTCTGACCTATCAAGCGACAAACCTTGCTTGATAAATTTACGATTGCACATGATTATTAATTCATCAAGATCAATTCTAGTCTCTACGTCATCATGTTCATCGTATCTTGTCTATCCAGAAAACATGTAGCCGTTAACTCCTTTAACACATTAAACGAACGCTTTATTATAAACCACAGTTACGAGAACAATCTTATTCAAATTCATTCGTTTCATAGTTCACGCTGTGCTTGTTTTATGATTTCACTCTTAACATTCAAACCATGTAAAAATTAAAAAATATTATCTGTGCAAACATAATGTTCATAGTTCATCATCATCATCAGCCTTAATGTCCCCACTGCTGGGGCACAGGCCTTCCCTATGGATGGAATGGGAGATTGGGCCATGACCCACCACGCGGGACCAGTGCGGATATGTGGGTGCTAACGACTGCAAATGCAGCCGGGACCAACGGCTTAACGTGCCTTCCGAAGCACGGAGGAGCTCGAGATAGTAAATTTTTGGTCACCCATCCAATGACTGACCACTGCGAAAGTTGCTTAACTTCAACGATCGCAGCCGAACGCGCTAGCCACCTGCGCCATCGAGCTCCTCAGTTCATAGTTCAACTACCTAATTACTTTAGTAATCGAATTATTTGTTATTCCTGCCTCACCAGGTTTATTTTTATTTTTATATTAATTTAGTAGACTGCAACTGAGTGCAAATCAAAGATTTCGGTGTCCTAAGTATATTTAGCGATGAATTCCATGTCTCTTTGTTGCTCGAGAAATGAGTTCTATACTTAATTCCGGATGAATTGTAGCCCATTCGCCGCGTAACGTTGAACTAACTGATGACAACGTGACATGACGTCACACTTTTCCGTGCGTGCAGTCGGCGTTCATCGATTTATGAAACTTATCACATCAAAAATCTAATTGGTGATGATAATTATGATTGCAGACCCTTGCCTGTACATCCTACGGTTCTCGTCGCAGCTGCAGCTGGAGGACAAGCAGCATGAGGTCAGCATGACGGCGCTGCGGCTTGTGCAGCGGATGAAGCGGGACTCCATCCACTCGGGGCGGCGCCCCTCCGGCATATGCGGCGCTGGTACGTTCCGTAATCGTTGTTTTGTGACATAGAAGCGTGGTCCACTAAATTGATGACCTTTGACGACCTCCGTGGCCATGTGGTTTGTACGCCGGGTTTCATGGCGTCGCCAACTCGAGAGGTCCGTTCGAATCCTGGTGGGGGCAGATGTTTGTGTGATGAACACGAGCATTTGTACTCCAGTCATGGATGTTTAATATGTATTTGTATATAAATATACTTATATATGTAAAGTATATGAATTCTATCCGTTACCCTAGTGTCCCATAACACAAGCCTTATAGTGCTTACTTTGGGGCTAGGCTAATTGGTGTGAGTGTTGGAAATATTTATTTATTTATTTATTTATAATGGTAAACGGACACTATGGCCTATAGCCACTTGCGATTCCAGAGTATTTGCGCGTTGTCTTCTTCGTCTCCAGGCTTGTATTATCACATATATATAGTACCGAGAAAAAAATATGTAACTGTTTATTGTATATTTTTTATATATGGGCAATAAGAGTTGGAGACTCACCTGATGTTAAGTGATCTCCGTCGCCCATAGACACCTGCATCACTAGGAATACAACAAATGCGATGCCAGCTTTTAAGGAAGATATTACCCTTTTACCCTTAAGTTCAACTTGTTTTCCCACCTGTGCAGAAGGTCTACTCTATTTCAACGAAAAACGAAATTTCGATCGCAATTTCGCACGTTCCCTACTCTGTTTCCTTTTCATTTCAAAAATTCGTTCGTCCGAAAATGTTTGACAATTAAATTCTCCAACCCTACTCTAATTCATAAAACTTTCGAATGAAAAGTTGAATTTGACAGATAATTGTTCGAAATTTTAACCTCAAATTGACGAAATGAAAAGTGTTACCTTTTCATTTTCGTTTTGAGATTTTTGTTTTAATTAAGCCTAAAATGCTTGCAAGAGTTTTTTTAATCAAGGCTGCTTAGCTCGAGGAACAATTTTTAGCATGTAAAATTAACAAATAAACCATGTTTTTAATATTTATTGTGATTCCAATACTTCAAAGTATTAAACGACAAATTTAAGTTGACATACAATAGATTGTATCAACTCGACAAATTAGTTGGCTAACACTGTCAAAGGTTTTTTCAATGTCATAAAAAAATTGCGATACACTACCTATATTGTTTCCATGTAAAAAAAAACGTAATCTCAATAGTAGAGATGAAAAGAACTCACAAACATGACTCATTCCATTCGTTCACGAAAACTGTTTGTGGTTCCAAACTTTATGTGCATGTTCGAAAATGAAATAGAGTAGAGTCAGTGGCGAAATTTCGTTTAAAATTCGTTCGTTACCGAAATTTCGTTGCGGAGAAAGGGAGTAAAGCTCCAGGCATAGTCATGCCTGCGTGCTTGTGTGCGTAGCTACCCTCAATGGTGATGAATGACATTTCAGCGTTGCTAATAGCCGCTCGTCTGCACAACTTCAGCCGGACACCGGGCGATGTGGTTCGCATAGTGAAGGTGCACGAGTCGACGTTACGCAAGCGGTTACTGGAGTTCGGGGAGACGCCGTCCAGCGCTCTGACCCTGGACGAGTTCATGACCGTAGACCTGGAGGAGGAACAGGACCCGCCCGCCTTCCGCGCCGCCAGGAAACGGGATAAGGAGAGGCTGCAGAAGGTACGATCCACGGCCATAAATCAAAATAGTTAATGCAGGTGCATACTTCGCGGGCCGAGGCCGCAAATCAAAGGGATAGCAAACCTCTTTATTTTTGTGCGTCACAGTTGTCGATGCCGGATGATGAACGCAATTTCAAAAATCCTATATGTGTATACAAATGATTTGTATGAAAGAAAGTTATATGCTTTAATTTTGTTGGCTATGAAAATTAAGTAACTTATTTGTTTCTCAGGTTTTCACACACACCACTCATTAAAAAAAATGGGTGCGTGTACTTATGTAGGTGCGTGAGAAGTTATCCTTCTTTGGCATCGTTTAAAATTAGTTTTTAATTGCATGCAAATAATTAATTACAATAAATTAATAAAAAGTCTGGAAAAGGACACAGTCAATAAAGTTCAGTTTTAATTTGAAAAAATAAATAAATAATCAAAACATTCAATTAAAATCGCTACTGAATATAATTTATTAGAACATATGTGATTTGCACTTGTATGAAACTCAAACACGTATTCCGAATATACAAACTAGAAACATGTGGATAAATATTATAAATATGAATACCTATAACTGTTACTTTATTACAAAAAATAAAGATGTGGTTTTTGGTTCTACTACACCAATGGTCAAGAGATGGCGCTGTAGTCTCCTGAATCGCGCTTTGGTTCCGTTGTTCCAGATTAATAAATACTTTTGATAGGCCTTCACAATGCAGTCGTTAGCACCCACTAAATAGAGATTCTATTTCTATTTTGTTGGTAGATTTTCTTAATGTGCGGTAAACACAAAAGTAACTGTTAATATTTTGTGTTACAGTGATGCGCGCGCATCTTAAAATTTCACTCTCATCATTTTTTCATAACGCGCCTAAAGAAGTATAACTTCAATAAAACAAGTTTCAGAGGTATAGATGCACAGAATTATTTATTTATTGACGTATCGTATCCTTTACAGGATGCGTCGTCAGAATAATGATTTTATTTACTTGGTCGATCAACTGACTGAACCCGACAAATGACTCCACCCCACCTGATGTTAAATGATGGTGAGGCATTTTATTGAGCGTTCGGATATTTCATTGAAGATTTTTAAAACTTTATTGTGTATGTATGAATTAATTATCTAATTTAATTAATAAAGTACTTTATTTAATTCTTTTTTGTAAGTTTGAGTTTATTTCTTTAAAACTACCGTAAACTACCACCAGTTTCAAAATTGGGAGACCTTTCTGAGAAAACCGGGCGAAACAAACTCAGAGCGGCTTTCTATCTCAAAAAGAAATAAATAAAAAAAATCAGTGCATCTATACCGTAGAAAGTTGTTTTATTTATTAAGTAGCTTAAATTATTTAATTTTCTTGAATTAGTTTTTCCTCTCGGCAATAGAATAGATGAAAGTACTACTTATACAAGTCTCCACCGAAATAGCTAATAACACCAATTGTTAAGTTAATGCCCAGTAACGTGCCTTCTGAAGCACGGAGGAGCTCAAGATAGAAAATTTTCTTTTGGTCACCCATCCAATGACCGACCACTGCGAAAGTTGCTTAATTTCAACGATCGCAGCCGAACGCGGTAACAACTTGCGCCATCGAGCTCCTCCTTCTCCTTCTTATATTATTTAACCGATATTAGATTCGAAGAACTTTACTCTGTTTCAAGCCCGGACAGTAATGTACTATCAATCATTATGGTTATATTTTATTACAGCTATTAGAAGAAGAGGATGGTGAGAAGGAACTGACGGACTTGCAGAAAGAGATAGACGCGCAGTTAGAGAAGGACAACTGCAGACGCAAGAAGATGGTGGCCAACTCCGTTGTCAACAAAGTGATAGCGAGAGATTCAAATACGGGTAGGTACTTGCATAGAATTAATTTATTCATAAACATAGGTACAATAGTGATGTTACAATAAAAGTATTACTCCTGTCTATGTTTCACCATTCTGGTATATGAATTTATGAAGTTATTTATATATGATTACATTATTTACAATGCCTGTTATAAAAAAATGGGTGCGTGTACTTAAGTAGGCGCGTGAGAAGTTATCCTTCTTTGGCATTGTTTAAAATTAGTTTTTAATTGCATGCAAATAATTAATTACAATAAATTAATAAAAAGTCTGGAAAAGGACACAGTCAATAAAGTTCAGTTTTAATTTGAAAAAATAAATAAATAATCAAAATATTCAATTAAAATCGCTACTGAATATAATTTATTAGAACATATGTGATTTGCACTTGTATGAAACTCAAACACGTATTCCGAATATACAAACTAGAAACATGTGGATAAATATTATAAATATGAATACCTATAACTGTTACTTTATTACAAAAAATAAAGATGTGGTTTTTGGTTCTACTACACCAATGGTCAAGAGATGGCGCTGTAGTCTCCTGAATCGCGCTTTGGTTCCGTTGTTCCAGATTAATAAATACTTTTTGTTACTTTATTACAAAAAATAAAGAAGTGGTTTTTGGTTCTACTACATCAATGGTCAAGAGATGGCGCTGTAGTCTCCTGAATCGCGCTTTGGTTCCGTTGTTCCAGATTAATAAATACTTTTTGTTACTTTATTACAAAAAATAAAGAAGTGGTTTTTGGTTCTACTACATCAATGGTCAAGAGATGGCGCTGTAGTCTCCTGAATCGCGCTTTGGTTCCGTTGTTCCAGATTAATAAATACTTTTGATAGGCCTTCACAATGCAGTCGTTAGCACCCACAATGTTGGTAGATTTTCTTAATGTGCGGTAAACACAAAAGTAACAGCATGAAGTTGGTCGCTAAAGCGACCAACTTCATGCTGTTAATTTTTTGTGTTACAGTGATGCGCGCGCATCTTAAAATTTCACTCTCATCAATTTTTCATAATGCGCCTAAAGAAGTATAACTTCAAAAACATTAAAAAAAAACAAGTATAAAATTAAGGATGTTGAAAAGATAATTATAATAATTTTACAAATGTCAAGAATTTATATATCATCCGCGTATTGAAATGAAGTTAAATTACATAATTGAAATGTCAAAATATCAAATTGTCTTTAAAAAAATCCTTAGTAGGTATAAACCTTCAGAATCTGCAAATAACGAAGTTGACCGGCGTAGTAAACAATTTAATTTAACCTTAATAAGACATGCAATTTTACATTTAAAACTTAGAATTAAATAATAATTATCTTAACATTTTCACATAAATAGCACTTGCTTGAAAAGAAATGACATACTCTATTTAAATTGACCTATTGAAATTATAGCTATTAACGGGATTGTTACCATGTACCTTGTTCTTTATGAGTCTCCGATATTTCGGCACTGTTGCAAGCGCCATGATCACGGAGTAACTGAAGTAATTGCGGGTAGATGTTATTGGCAGACATATCGGTCTACCCTCTGACGTCGTCTTTTACTGCGCTCGATACCCCTACCATTGGTCACATTCTCACTATTCACTCACACCTGTTCCCGACACACAATACTCACAGTATCAGATCGCGGAACGACACTTTTTTGGTTTTTGCGGTTTTTGCACATACGAACCACTGGATTCCAGACACTTGAATCCATGAAAGTGTAAAACAATATGATCTATTGAAATCTCTTTAACATCGTCTAATATTTTTGCCTACCACCCATTCAGGACATATTTTAGCTGATGAAAAGAATGGGCGCAAGAAACTCATCAACATTTAACAGTAGTAGCAACATTTTAGTAGAAATTTGTGTTTTTGTCTGTTCGTCAGATGAAGCAGAAGACGAAGATGCAGCGGCATCACGGTTCGCGGCACAAGACACGCTGGCGTTACTGGGGGAGATCGCTTCCACCGAATTACCTGAGGCCAAACAAAACCTGCAGAAAGGACTCGGTAAGAGAAAAATACACTGACAGAAACAACCTTTTTTTATTTGTTCATCAGGAAAATGCGTGACCCATACCCCGCCATCTGGGGGCCGATCGCCTAACGGGATTACTATGGCTATCGCTATCGCTTACGATTTCATTTTGTTATTTCTGACCGCCGAAGGTTTTCAAATACCTCACACTCATTTTCTTTATTATTGTTATTACCAATGAATAGAATAGAATATATTTTATTAACCCTCATATTACAGATATTACACATTTACAGATACAAATTAAAAAAAAACTCAGGGCTAACCAGGACCCTGCCTCAGCTTTAGCTGATGCGACATAGTGTCGCGCCAGCGCTGTTATTCTGGCAGGGCCTATTTATTGACACAAAAAAAAGACATGTGAAAAAAAAAAATATTTGAAAGGATGTATGGGCTTAACTTCCTTTGCTTTCAAGTAACAAAAAATTAAGATAAATAAAAGTCAATCAAAAACAGCAAAAAACACAACAGTATAAATAACAGCAAGCAAAGCAATGCGAAACAAAGCGAAGCAATTCATTTCAGCCTAAAAATTCATTTAAATTCAAAATATACATGATTGATTACGCAACTGCAACCGCCACCCAAAAATAGCAGTTACTCATAATAGCTTATTGCTATCTTATATATATATAAAACTCAAGGTGACTCACTGACATAGTGATCTATCAACGCACAGCCCAAACCACTGGACGGATCGGGCTGAAATTTGGCATGCAGGTAGATGTTATGACGTAGGCATCCGCTAAGAAAGGATTTTGATCAATTCTACCCCCATGGCAATAAAATAGGGAATGAAAGTTTGTATGAAACTTTGTCAATTTTAAACCGTTCGGGCTGAGACTTTGCATGCAGGTATAAGAAGAATCATAGATTAATGTCATTGTGTATAATACAAGCCTGAGAACAAAAACTGTAGTCTACAAATAAAACTAGTTTTTACGGGTTAATGCACGAAACTTTATTTATTTATTGACGTTTCGCAGCCTTTTCAGGTCTGCATCGTCAGAATAATGATTTTTTATTTAAAATTGTCGAGCTACCTTCGAAAGACTTATATTGAGCTGATCTGACAGATCCTTGCAGCTGAGCGGCGGTTCGTTCCTCGAATGATGCGCGAGGCTATTGAGATTAAAAAATATCCAAATTTCAATAGGGAAGATGGTTGGTATATACCACCAGCTTGGGAACCTATTATACAGGAGATAAAATCCCAACCCCGAGCACACACTGCAAGACCATCAGATACTATTAGTTCTTTTTGTTTGCATAATTTAACATAAGAAGGAGATAGAAAGCCGCTCTTGAGTTTGTTTCGCCGGTTCTTCTCAGGAAGGTCTCCCAATTTTGGAACCGGTGGTAGTTTACGGTAGTTAGGGTCAAATAAATAAATAAACTCAAAATTACAAACAAGAATTTTAAATAAAATACTTTATTAAGCAAATTAAATAATAAATTCATACATAGACAATAAAATTTTAAAAATCTTCCAATGAAATAACCGAACGCTCAATATAAGTCTTTCGAAGGTAGCTCGACAATTTTAAATAAAAAATCATTATTCTGACGATGCAGACCTGAAAAGGCTGCGAAACGTCAATAAATAAATAAAGTTTCGTGCATTAACCCGTAAAAACTAGTTTTATTTAATGAGTGATGTGCGTGAAAACCTAAGAAACAAATACTGTAGTCTACACTTCAGCTCTACACCGAAGCGAAGCGACGGAGGGTCACTAGTTATAGCATAAGTTAAGTACAGTTATTCAGAAAACAGGACATACTAGTGTCAAAAAGTATAAGGCCAAATCATGCTGCGGAAAATTTACATCAATGCCGTGAAGCAGCTCCTCTCTGTTTTTATTCAGCAAAAGAAATCAAGTTAGATATTACTTACAAAGTTACCATTGCAAAAAAAAAAAAAAGAGCGCGAGGCATTTGAAAACCTCAGGCGGCTAGAAATAACAAAATGAAATCGTAAGCGATAGCGTTTCCCACAATCCTGTTAGGCGAATGGCCTCCTGGGAGTGGCAACGGGGTTATGAGAGACTCTTCCCGACCCGTCCCGCTGCCCCCTCAGGAGGGGTGCCCCTACCCACTACAAACCTGACGATGGCCCTCATCTCACTCGGTCCACGGTCCCAACCAGCATGGGCGAGACAACGGCACTAGATTTTATAAAATTGAATTGTTGTGTAAAAATGAAATATGAACAAAGTATTATAATATAATTATTTAACAAGCCCTCTAGCTTGATATTTGCTATGCCCTTGCAGGGCGTCACATATTTACCTTACATAAATTAATGTACCATCATAAATGTAATGTGAAATGCAATAAATAAATAAATAGGGCAGCATTTCGTAACCTTCGTCAAGTCTTCTCGTCACCCATCCCTCAATGTCTCAAGTCGAAAGTCTTCGATCAGTGCGTCCTCCCAGTTATGACATACGGCGCCGAGACGTGGACACTCACGGCTGGACTGGTCCACCAGTTTAAAGTCGCTCAGAGAGCTATGGAAAGGGCTATGCTCGGAGTATCCCTGAAGGACCGCATCAGAAATGATGTAATCCGACAGAGAACCAGAGTCACCGACATAGCCCACCGAATTAGCAAACTGAAGTGGCAGTGGGCTGGTCACATTAGCCGCAGAACTGACGGCCGATGGAGCCGTAAAGTTCTTGAGTGGAGACCGCGACTCGGTAAACGTAGTGTGGGACGCCCTGAGACAAGATGGCTGGCTGGCGTGAGCTGGATGAGAGTGGCAGAAAATCGGGAGCAGTGGCGTGCATTAGGGGAGACCTATGTCCAGCAGTGGACGAACATGGGTCGATGATGATGATGATGATGAAATAAATAGATGAGGCCACGGGAACCCTTCCGGAGTCTTCCGCGACCTCACCAGTGAGTCCGAGTCGAACGGACACACCTGTCTCCCCCAGGAAGAGGGGAATGTTGGGGATGCCCCTAAGCATCATGGGCTTCCCCAACCATCAGCAAAGAGAATCAACCTCCCTAGCATGAAAATTGCGATTGATATTTGTATACTAGCGGATGGCCGCAACTTCGCCTGTATGGGTTTATTGGTTCTGCATACTATTTTCATTTTTCAATTTGAAGACTCTGTATATAATACAGGGAGAAAAAAACAGCCCTTGCTGAGTTTCTTGCCGGTTCTTCTCAGTACAAGGTCTCCCGCCGTTTTGCGAACCGATGGTGTAGCTTTTCGACATTCACAAGTGCTTGTAACAGCCTAGACTGAATAAACGATATTGATTTTTTATTTTTTTTTTACTTTTCCCCATTTAACCTCTTTCATATTATATTTTCTCGACATAAAGTAGACTGATAATAAACTCCCTCTAGAGTCTTATTTATATCTGTGCTAAAAGAGAAATAATTGTGTAGGAAAGGCTAAAGCGGAAGAGCTTCTTTCGAGCTACGAGCTGAGTGATGTTAGCTCGTGGACCGCGGCTCGAATGATGTTGGTCGGCCATTGCATATATGAACTGTTAGCCGCCGAATTTCACTTGCGCGATGTAGGCTTCCATACTGTTTGAGTGCAGCGCCGGTAGCGCCATCTCTTGAAGAGGCGAGTGAGTAATTCCTCCGTGTTAGTTACATGTAAAACGTGTAGATGTTGCTGGCCACAATGGACAAGAAATCTGCAAAATTTGGCCACTAGGGGCGCTGTAATCGCTTAACCCAAAACTTCTATCAAATACATACCTATTAGCTTATATTAATTTTTAAGCTTTTTATTAAACAAATTACAAATGCCTCGTTGTCCTGGTTGCTGTGAGAACGGAAGGCACAAGTTTCTAAAAAACCGGAAAATAAGAAGATTGTGGGAACTAGCAATAAGAAGGAAAGATTTCTAAGCTAATGACAAATCGAGGTTATGTCACCAACAATTTAATAAAGATTCTGCTTACCTGGGGCATAGTTCCAGTACGATTTAGTATTTAAAAATGTATGACAATAACTGCTTGCTTACCGACAAAAATATAATTTTATATGTTGCTTTGAAAGGGGGGGGGGTAGAACTGAGCTGCTGTTTACATCATGGTAAGCATCTGGGACAGGTAATTGCATCTAGATGTCTTAATTTTGATCAGAAAAAAACTGTACCAAATTGCAGTCATATGCCTCAAGTCTGTAAAAAAACCCAATGTTATACTTCCCATTTTAGCCAGAGTTAACTTAACTCTATGAGAAGTCTGACTGATGCAAAAATAAGATAGCTTTGACTAATGAGCCCGCTAAACTTTAGTAGCGTCTCTACATACGTACGCGCCCGAGCGCTAGAGCTCTGTGACGTCACAGTCACCACGCGGCCAGTCGAAAATTCGTTTCGTGATTTGGTCATAACTTCGTCAATATTTGTCGTAGAACAAAAAATTAACCACTGTATTTTAAGGAATCCTTAGCTCTATAAATCTGCATTCTCAACTCAACTAGTTCCGAATCCTCATTGTACTCAATCTGTGCTTTCCATTTTTATTCGTTTCTCAAGTGACTGGATCAAAACCGAATGTATATTTCTGCGTTAAAAAAATAACGGTTATGTTTCGTTGCGCTAAAGTGTACTATAATCATCGTATTTCTTTGTCCAGGCCCAGAATTAGCCGTGATAGGTCTAGCCCCTCGGGAAGAAACTGGTGGCGGTGGGGGTGCTTCCACCCCCTGGGGACGGGATCTGGCCGCACACGAACTGCAGTTATGTGATGCTGATGAGGAACAGATCTCCGGCCTCATCATGAGCGATAACGAGGCGAGGCACAAGACGATGCTGTGGAACAAGATCAATGCCGCCTTCCTGAGGGAACAGAAGGGTGAGTGTTGAATAATAAGCTGCAACTGTGTTAGAGATGGGCGATTTTAGATATTTGTGAAATCGATGCGCATCGGTATCAGAAAAATCGCATCGGATCCGCGCACCGATGCCGGCATCGCATCAATGCCATGTGAATGTCAGTATCGTGGTATCACAAAATTTTCAGTGCCGGTGGCCAAAATTGGAACTACAATTTATCCTATGGATAAATTGTGATATTTTTTTTTATGACATATTTGTTCACCGCTAGCGACATCTTCACCGGCACAGATAAGTTTGTGGCACCGTTGCTATAGTAACGTTGACGAAAACTAGATGGCATCGGCATCCAATAACAGCATCCAGTCGCTTCGGATGCGCGCATCCAAACCTGGCATCGTTATTTTAAAAACGCCCACCCATAAACTGTGTGGTGCTGATGAGGAACAGATCTCCTCATAACGAGGCCAGGTACAAGACGATGCTGTGGAACAAGATCAATGCCGCCTTCCTGAGGGATCAGACGGGTAATAGGTATTATTATATATAGAGTCGTCAACTTGAAAAATTACTTCAGGGATAATTCTGAAGTCACTTTCCATCATAGCTATTAATAATTGAATTTAAATTGAATTATAACTAACCACAAAAATTTGACGATGGGTAGGCTTAAAACCAGCTGCGCTGTGCCTATCCTTTTTCCAACTCATATTTAATACGCATATTTAATAATAATAATAATGTAATAATAAGGTATGGAAATAAAGCACTTGTATTTGTATTTGTATAGATTTGGAATAGACTCACCGCGCTGGCCCAGTGCGAATTGGTGAGGTATGACTGCATTCTCTTAAAGATCCGTCCAATTGTTTGATTCACGGAGTTCATATTGAAATTGAAACATTATCAACTATTTGTTAAACATATAATCCTTCTGTAGCTGCGTCCGTTAATTGCGTCTGATCAATCTTTTTAGTCTGAACCATTCGTTTATTACATTTAGACTAAATCTAAACCTTTCGGTAATTCCGCTCAGATCAGTCCGTTGTTAATCTGTTCGCTCGGAGTATTTTGACCGACGAGAAAGATTATCTGCCATGTTGTGAGGTTTATTCTGTTGGAGGTTATAAATTAATCTACGGTCGGTCGGGCCGTTCGGTAAAAGCAATTTGCTCAGATCAATCTGTGATCACGTGACCGAAAATCCGTCGTCAATGCGATGTAGTTTCCTTAACACGAACCAATGTCGAATTCGAATAATTTGCGAGTGGAAATGTCATTGTCAAATGTATACTGATTTGTAATTCTCGTTAAGTCCGTTATGGCGCTGTTGCTCGTTTTTTTTTTGAAATAAAATAGTGACATTTCGCACTCGCAAACTATTCGAATTCGATATTGATTCGTGCTTCGTACTGCTCATGTAAGACTACGATTTCTGAGTTTTTCTTCGAAATTTTGTTAGTGAAAGAGGAGATGCGTGAAAAGGAGCGTCTAGAAGGCAAAAAGAAGAAAGTGCGCGGTAGTTATCGCAAAAAGGCGGCTTTGGGCGCGGCCACAGCCGGCGAGGCCATCGGCAAGATGCTGCAGGAGAAGAAGATCTCCTCCAAGATCAATTACGACATCCTGCGCAGCCTCGACCAGCCTTCCACTATCAACGGAGACTGTACCCCCAAACAGGAGGAGAAAAAGTAAGCACGAAGAACATTTTACAAAAAAATATGAAAATCACGGCAGAATAGGGTATTTGACAAGTTTTAGGAAACGATTTTACGTCCGTGAAAAGTGGATATTCATCATTCTGTTGTGTATTTCAGTAAAAATAACCAAATCAATAACTCCATTTTCAAGTTGCCGCGAAAACGTTTCTCTGGACAATATGGCGTCTTACTAGTGTGTTACGTCACACGACTGTTAAACGATACAATGTAATGTCACTTCAACCGGAAGTTTACTTGCGTGTGACGTCATTTTAGGCTCCGACAATCCCAAGCGTTTTGGTTCACGTGACAATAGATAAGAAAACTATTATCTTTTTCGTTAGTTTTTAGTAAAATTATGAATGTTTTTTTGTAAAAATAGTAAAAACCCCTGCCAATATTCATTCTAAACACAGATACTAACAATTGGCACTTTATTTTTATTAACACTGTCAAATACCCTATTCGCACTTGTATCTTCCGGTGTCCGGGCGTATGCACCAATCTATGTACTACAGAGATCTTTAGAGCGGACGTGAGCTGAGAGACATTTGAGAAATAGGTATTTGAAAAACTAATTCAAGGTTTGGCTCTCGACTAGGGATTGCAATCCCGCAGCTCATTCAGTCCTGTGGGATTCAAATGCGGGATTACTCAATTCCACGCGGGATCACGCATCTTTGAAATAATGTTGAAATCAAATTGAAGCTATAGGTTTTTGTGTAAAATTCAACTTTTATCAAACATTTGTTACATTAAGCAACAGAAATTATTTATTTTATATTTTTAATTCAGTATTATTCATATAATAACTAATAATAAAATATCAACTTACTCTTAGATGCTATTACTATAATATCAATCTATGGTGAAAACTTTTGAAAATACGCACTTAAGAAGCAAATTGGCATTTATTGTATCATATCCGAGTCTGCTTCTGAATGAACTGCAAATATCTCCCGGGCAAACCTTCAATTTATATTAATAACCATGCTACTCGTGATTTACTTTTAGCGCCAACGTTTAAATTTGCGGGAACCGCGGATCCGCGCTTTGAAGGTGCGGGATCCAGCAGAATTGCGCAATCCAACAGAGTTTCCCGGATTGCGTGATCCCGTTTTGCGGGATTGCAATCCCTACTCTTGAAGATTTATTTTACAAAAATTACATAAAAACAAGAAATTTTACCCATAGAATAATAAGTAGTTATAATAGGCCTCTATGCCTTGCTTTTTTTGGAAATGCGTCTTTAGTGGTGATAAAATTTTGTTTGTTTTTGGTATTGTAGAGAGCTTCTATTTTTCTTGAAAACAAGTTATCGAAAAAAGGAAGACATAGAAACATAGAATAAGTAAAATTATATTTCATGTATGAAAATCATTTCATTGGTGATAAAAATCAAGGAGTAATCAGTCGAGAGTGTTTGTATGGAAAGAACATTGCCCGCTTCCCCTCTTAAGGGCCTGCAGTGCGTTAAGCGGGAGATACGCCTCAAGTAGCGTTGCTCTATAAAATAACATGAAACAAACAAGCTTACGCAATGCACGCCCTAAGACCGAGTGGATTTTTCAAAATTATCTCTCAACTGTAAGCTTTTATAAGATTTCACAAAAAAGTTTACTTTTATAGCAAATTTGATTCAAAAATCACATATTGACATAATTTTACTGATACTTTCGTAAAAAAAGTGTCTTAAACCCCCTAACGGAAAAAAACAGAGGATAGATGGAGAGGAGACTCCCCCCGTGGGGAGACGCCATCCGCCTGGAATACCTCTAGAGGCACTCGCCAATTCTCGGCTTGAGGTCCCCTTAGGATATCGCCGTCCCCAAACCCGGTGACGCTGTAAAGGTCATCTGCGAACAACAGCAGGAAAACAAAAATCAAAGGAGTTTTTCAAGTGATACTAGTCTTAAGTTTGTAGATAAAGTTTAAAATTACTTCACACTGAAAGTGCTCGTCGCGTCGGTCGTCGTGTTAATCTGCTCTTATAACGCGGACAAATTCGCAGGCGGAAACTAGTCTCATAATAAGGCAATTTGTAATGCGAAGACATTATATTCTATTCAACTTCATCTTAACAAAAGATAAACAAGCCATTAGAAGGTTTTCCAATAGATAGAATAGGGTATTTGACAGTGTTAAAAATATAGTGCCAATTGTTAGCATCTGTGTTTAGAATGAATATATAACTTCAAGTAAACTTCCGGTTAAAGTGACATTACATTGTACCGTTTGACGTTTTAATAACAGTCGTGTGACGTCACACACTAGTAAGACGCCATATTGTCCAGAGAAACGTTTTCGCGGCAACTTGAAAATGGAGTTTTTTATTTGGTTATTTTTACTAAAATACACAACAGAATGATGAATATCCACCTTTTACGGACTCCATAAACATTAGTTAATAAGGTGAGATCGTTTTCTAAAACTTGTTAAATACCCTACGCATATAAAATAACAATAAAAAGCTGTAGCTTTTCCCAAAATTTGAACGCATTATAATACAACCAAACTGAAGAGTAGCGATAAAGCGAATCAGTTATTTTGAAATGTGAAATTTGTAATCAGTCTGGTTACACCGGCCATCTTTGCTCCCAATATATTTTTTTAATTTTGTCACAGAGGAAGTTGAACAGAGTATAGGTGCACAATTGTATACAATCAATAGTAATAGCTGTTTGTCGATATAGGTCATTTTAATCTAAGTGAAAACATCATTGTTTGTTCTTCCAAATATAATGTTATATTTGTTCAGGACAAAAGCCCCGACACCGGCGACGGTGATAGAATCCCCGACGCCTCGGAAGCGGAAGAAGAAGGAGCCCGCCCCCGTCACCTTCCCCTCCGCCTCCCCCTCCCCCTGCCCCCGCCCCGTGTCCTCCCCTGTCCCCTCCCCCGTTCCCTCCACGGCGCGCAGGCAACAACGACCCGCGCCCTCTACCCCAGCGCCCTCTACCCCAGCGCCCTCTACTCGAGCGCCCTCTACCCCAGCGCCCTCTACCCCGGCACCGGCTACACCGGCGCTCGCAGGTAACTATAAAACCTAAATTTATAATAATATACTCATCAAAAGAGGTACAACACATGAACTTTTGGCCTAATTTTAATATTTTTATACTGTATTTTTTTGCTTATATGTGATAACTAATTTGATTTATTAGTGACTAAAGCTGGAAGAGTTCGATGGTGCAGGTGGTTAGCGCGTTCGGCTGCAATCATTGATGTTAAGCACTTTCGTAGTGATTTGTCATTGGATGGGTGACCAAAAATTTGCTGTCTCGGGCTCCTCCGTGCTTAGGAAGGCACGTTAAGCCGTCGGTCCCGGCTGCATCTGCAGTCGTTAGCATCCGCCAATTCGCACTGAGGCCGCGTGGTAGGTCATGGTCCATTCTTCCTATTTAATCCATAAGGAAGGCCTGTGCCCCAGTAGTGGGCACATTAATAAGCTGTTGAGATACGAGCTTAAGATACGAGATAAAACTTGCAGTTTGTGTAAATGAAAATGATGCCATTAATACGGTTTCTACTAAAAAAATATTCGTCCTCCCGGATGTCAGCTTTCTGTACTACGCCATGAAAAAAGTGTACTTAAAGCAGCACAAAAATACTCCATCACGTATCATTAAACAAATTATCTTGTGTTCACTAGAAGCGGATGAAGATTACGAAGAAGACCTGGAGCCTCAGCCCGAGCCCCAGGAGAACCTGTCCCTCGCTGCCATGTTGAGGAACGACCAGGAAGACGACTATTACGACTACGACGAGTATTAGTCGACTCGGACATACCTCGTATGCAAACATTGTATTATAACCCGGACATACCTTGTCTTGAACGATGGAAGTGAAAGTTGAATAGACTATAGTTAACTCGGTTATACCATATCTTGGAGTATACACTATATATGACGACTATATACGAAGAGTATTAGTCGACTCGGTCATACCTCCAATGGAAACATTGTATTATAACCCGGTTATATCTTATCTTGGAGTATACACTATTTATAACGACTATTTACGACGAGTATTAGTCAGGTCGGTCATACCTTGAAGGTAAACTTTGTATTATAACTGTATATTGTTAAACTAAGAAAAAGATATTCCATTTGTAAGATCACGTTTTAGGTTAAATCACAATAAATCAAACGATGGATGGATGGATTGACTATGACGTCAAAAAAATCTAATTTTCCATGAATATTATATTAACTTTTTTTTTTTAATTACCATTACCAGTCTGAAAGTAACTTTCAGGCGATATGAGTCGAAATCGAGTCATCTATACTAATATTATAAAAAGGAAAGATTTGTTTGTTTGTATTGAATAGGCTCCGAAACTTCTGGACCGATTTGAAAAATTCTTTCGCATTTAGTATCCTACATTATCTCTAATGAACAAAGGCTATAGAGTATTTCCAAAAAAGTTAGAGTTCCATATGAAAACTTCGATAATGTAACCCAACATGTGAAAAAATACCAAAAAATGACCTTTTATTGCGTACGCTGTGGAAGTCATTGATAATAGAGCAAAGTGATGTACTGAAGTTTTAAAGAAGACATCAATATCGACAAAAAAGTCCGCGATACCATATGTCTAACTATTACAGTTATGTCACAACTAGAGGTCCCCTGCGGTTTTACTCGCGTTAATTTGAAGAAAAAAGATGGACATACACTGCCGCGGACATTTTTATAGAACTTTTAAAAGGGCAACAATTCTGTGATACATGAGTTTTGTCTTATTTTAACCGTTTACCCAGCGCACGCAACGGAAGCTCACAAATGGAATATTTTTTATCATTTTTCATTGATGCTCCACTCCTACTGGTTGTAGTATGATTTTATACAACCCAACCAACGCCAAAAGATTTTTTCAAATCTGACCAGTATTTCCTGAGATAAGCGCGTTCAACCAAAAACAGTGCATAAATACAAGACTGAGAACAATAATTATAATAAAACTAGTTTTTACGGGTTAATGCACGAAAACTTTATTTATTTATTGACGTTTCGTAGCCTTTACAGGCTACGTCGTCAGAAGAACCTAACCTAAGAAACAAATTACATTACCCTAGCATCCCATAACACAAGCCTTACTGTGCTTACTTTGGGGCTAGGCTAATTGGTGTGAGTGTTGGAAATATTTATTTATTTTATTTATTTTATTTATTTAAATACAATAATTATAGTCTGCCTATACTACAGCTGTACACCGAAGCGAAGCGAGGGCGGGTCACTAGTCTTTTGTATAAAATTAAAGTGCGTACCATTTTTCTCACGTTCTATTTATATTAAAACTAGCTGTGCCCCGCGGTGTAACTCGCTGTTAATTAGGGATATTTTCCCGCAATAAAACCTAGCCCATGTGTTAATCTAGAGGATATCAGCTAACACGATACCAAATTTTATAAAAATCGCTCCAGCCGTTTAGACGTGAGGAAGTAACAAACATACACACTCACAAACTTTCGCCTTTATAATTAACTAGAGGTCGCCCGAGACTTCGTCTGCCTTAACTTAGTTTCTTGAATATCCCTCTGGAACCTAACATTTTTTCGGGATAAAAGTAACCTATGTGTTAATCAAGGGTGTCAGCTAACTCCATCCCAAATTTTATTAAAATCGCTCCAGCCGTTTAGACGTGAAGAAGTAACAAACATACACACACATACTCACACACTCACAAACTTTCGCCTTTATAATATTAGTGTGATTTATTACATGCATGATCGGCATATTTATGTATAAAGGAAGCATCAAGAGTCTTTTTTAAATGACTGATAATATACAACGAACAGTCGATGTACCCGATTACAGTGTTTTACTAACAATAATTAACAAAATTAAACAACCCGTTGAAATTTTAAATAACCACACAAGTGGCATTTCCTAACTCAATAAGAAACAATTCGGGCAGTTTTTTTTAGTATTTATTAAACTTAGTTTTATTTGTTATTATTGATTTATCGTTCCTCTTACTTAGAGAGACCTCAATTTGTTGTCACTTAATTTGCTTTAACTAAAGAATTAATTAAATTTAAGATTCCACGTAGCAGGGGATGGATCAGCGTATGCAATGGGTGTATTCCGAAATATAAACCAGTACGCTGGCCAGTGGTAATGACGTCATGATTTCGACGCCATATTGCACTGGTTTATTAGTAGTGTTGTCAATATGGCGTCGAAATCATGACGTCATTACCACTGGCCAGCGTACTGCTGTTTGATTCGGAATACACCCAATATGAGTGATACTCCGAGGCCCACGAATTTTGACAGCTCGTTAATCTTATTGCATCGTCAAAGTTTCTTTGAAAACTAAGTAGCGCGCCTACCGGATGTAAGAGCAAACTGGCTCCTTCCATACAAAAATTTACGATGACGATACGATTATGGAGCTATGAAAAGTTCATGCTTGGCCCTTAAGGTCTCGCATCAGGCTGGCCACGGAAACATTAACAACTCTTAATCTTACCAAGCATTAAATTTAATAGAATATTTGACAAGTTTTAGAAAACGATCTCACGTATTTACCAACGTTTATGGAGTTCATAAAATTATTCATCGTTCTATGGTAAAAAAAACGAATACAATTTTCAAATTGCCGCGGAAACCTTTCTTTGTATACTATGGCGTCTCACTATGGTATCACTAGTATGTGACGTCACACAACTGTCATTAAAACGTCAAACGGTACACTGCAATGTCACTTTGACCGGAAGTTTACTAGCGTGTGACGTCATTTTAGTCTGCGCCAATCCCAGACGTTTTCGGTCACGTGACCATAGAACAAAAAAATCATTTCTATTAAATGTTTTTATTAGTACAAAAGTTATTTATTATTTGTTCTCTCTGAACAGTAAAATTGCTTCTAATATTCATATTAAAAACAGATTTCAACAATTGGTACTTTATTTTTCATACTGTCAAATACCCTATTGATGGTTTTGAGTGCGGCCGTCAGAGACTTGAAGATTTTAACGAACATCCAAAGGAGCATTCTGACTGAGCGTTCATTAAATTGTACGTTTAAAAACACGGAAAAAATATTGATCTCTTATGTATTATTGAATCTTCTCTTTAATTAACTATTAGTTTGTAAATGTCGTTTTATGTGTACAAGTAAAAACTTACGATTAAGTGATTTAGTTAGTATTTTGTAATTATGATGTCAAACAAGTTATATAATCTTGACTTCTATTTCCTTTGGTACATTTTGTTTACTTATCCAAATAGATCCGAAATTTTGTTTGATGTGGCGAAAATTTTTATAGCCACTCATTAAGATACTGTAAACAGTAAATTTGTTATAATACACTGTTAATCTTATATCAAGTACTGTAAAGCTCAAAATTGCAAAAAATTGTCAGTTTTTAGTAAAATGACGCGTGGCTGTCTGTACGGTTGAAGAAGTTGGTTGCTTGCGCGCAACATTAATACAATGAGGGCTACCGTTTTCTGTCTCACCAGATGGCGCCACTGTTGAGTGAGGTCCTAAATTGTAACTTATAAAGTTTATTAATACGCACATGAAATCAAAGGTTACATTTAGATCGTATTTTAATACAAAAGAACCGGATCCTAAACATACAATAGGCCATGCCACAGTGACGCGCAGTTCCGTTTTATTCGGAAAAAATTATAACATAATAATTTTTCTTAGCTCAGATTTTTAATAACTGACATTCATTGCTACATAACTCATATTTGCCATAATTAAGCCGAATTGTTACCAATTATTCACAACATTATTTTAATTAGAAATAAACCCGTGTAGTCAACCAACAAGCAATAACATTTGATATTTCGGAGACCTCACGCTACACTAGCGCCTCTATCGGCGGATTCATACGCGATAGCCCTCATTAAGTTGAAATTGTGAAGCAACATATATCGTGGCTTTGTTTATTTATTTTACATATCATATTTATTTAACTAAATAAACAAATGGCTAAGGATTGTATGAAGTAGTGAGAAATTAATCGCATGCGGTATTAACTTCGAATGAAATAATATTATTTTGTAGATTTTTTTTATTAAAAGTAATATATGCCTAGCCAAACTAGATTTTAATTTGTTACCTAAGTATATTTATATAAGATCTAAAATAAAAAGAACATCTTTGTTTTAAAGGAAATAATTAAGTTTACTTATTTTATTTATGAGAATGTAAAAATGTACTTTTTAAGTAATGTATTATTATGTTTTATATAAAGGTTTCTGTCTGGCTGCTGACTGTTGTAATGAGAAGGATCTTAAACTTTAGTGATTTTCGTGTGAAAAATCCTAAAAGGAGATATTGTTTGATATCTTCTTGTACTGAATAATTAGGTTGTCGTATTTTAAAGTACACAAATTATGTACAATTACTAGAATAATGTTTATTATTTTGTATATATATAATAAAAACAATACACATTTATATTAACTTCCTCTAGTTTTCCAAGTAGTGTCCTTTTTTGTATATACCAAACTTTTAATTTAATCAAATGTAGATAATCTTTTTGTGTATATACTGGATGATTAAAGTGTTTTATATAATTCCAAGTTTCATTTGGCATTGGTTATACGAACTATGTGTAAAAAACAATGACGCATAATATATAGACAGGTTATACGCCATCATTATTGCATTTTTAAATGGCATAAGTTGTCCCCGCCCCAACTTCCTTTGGCAACTGAAGTAGTGTATTTCACTCACATTCATAAAGCAGACTACGGGTGTATTCCGAAATGTAAACCAGTACGCTGGCCAGCGGTAATGACGTCATGGTTTCGACGCCATATTGCACTGGTGTAGTAGTAGTGTTGTCAATATGGCGTCGAAATCATGACGTAATTACCACTGGCCAGCGTACTGGTGTTTGATTCGGAATACACCCTACATACTCTTTAGCCTCTATGTGTCAACGGTGTCAACAACTGTCAAAATAAGTATCACTAAATATTTTTACATTAATTTCTTTAAACCTGTACTTACGAATGAAACGACACGTTTTTCTTGTCCCTCAAAGTTCCCGTATATTTGTGTACAATCCAAAAACACACACAGGGCTTTTTGTCTGGTGAAACGTAAAATATTAACATGTTGTAGCTAAGTGTAGCCGCGGCAAGGGAGCGTACCCGACTGAAAGCAAGTCGGGCAATTACCCGACTTTCGTATTGCCAAATTTGAAGCGTGTATGACGTATCTATAACTTTAAAAAATCACAGGTAAAAAAGAATTTTAATTATGTATAATAAAGAAATAGTATTTCTGTACTTATTAGAAAGACGGGATTAAAAAGTAGAATATTTTCATTTATTATTCGAAGCAGTGGTAAAGTAATATTGAGACGTGTTAAAGCCAGGCTTGCCAGATGGCCGGGAAATCTGGGTTTGCCCCGGAATTTTGCGTCTTGTCCCGTGTCCAGTAATTGGACCTTTTGTCCCGGATTCAGATAATGTGCTAGTTTCTTAACAAAAAAAATGGGTGCGTGTACTTATGTAGGCGCGTGAGAAGTTATCCTTCTTTGGCATCGTTTAAAATTAGTTTTTAATTGCATGCAAATAATTAATTACAATAAATTAATAAAAAGTCTGGAAAAGGACACAGTCAATAAAGTTCAGTTTTAATTTGAAAAAATATATAAATAATCAAAATATTCAATTAAAATCGCTACTGAATATAATTTATTAGAACATATGTGATTTGCACTTGTATGAAACTCAAACACGTATTCCGAATATACAAACTAGAAACATGTGTATAAATATTATAAATATGAATACCTATAACTGTTACTTTATTACAAAAAATAAAGATGTGGTTTTTGGTTCTACTATACCAATGGTCAAGAGATGGCGCTGTAGTCTCGTGAATCGCGCTTTGGTTCCGTTGTTCCAGATTAATAAATACTTTTGATAGGCCTTCACAATGCTGTCGTTAGCACCCACTAAATAGAGATTCTATTTCTATTTTGTTGGTAGATTTTCTTAATGTGCGGTAAACACAAAAGTAACGCAAGAATTTTGTGTTACAGTGATGCGCGCGCATCTTAAAATTTCACTCTCATCATTTTTTCATAACGCGCCTAAAGAAGTATAACTTCAAAAACTATTGACTAATGACACCGCTGGTCGGCTTGATGCTTTAATTCTGGGAGGTGATGGAAGATTTGATTTGATGCTTTATTTTTTCAGGGGGAGGGGGGTGCATATGTACCGCTATTGATAAACCTGCATCAAACCTTGTTAAAGCGATTCTTGTTGAATATAAATGCCTTTTAATTAGGAATGGTCAGCATAAAACAAATGAGTATCTTATTCTTAAATTTTCTGACGAAAAAAAACTATGTAATAAAATATATTTCCACCATCAATCTTAGTTTGACATTATCTCATATCTCAAACATATGACCCCGCGATACGCAAACGAGTCGTAACTTGCATTTGAGGCGGATTCCTACAGTCTGTACGTTCTGCTAGACATGGGCGTTTTTGGTTTTGAACGCAAACGGATATTTATCGGATTTCAGATTTCAAAATCGATTTCGAAATCCGTTTTTAGATATCCGATTTCAGATGTGCCTAACTTAGCCAATTCACTAGTTTGTGTTTAGATTATTTTTTTTGATATTGGTTTTATTAGCTAACGACAATCACAAACAATTAATTGACGATATTTTGAAAACCAACACAAAACTCGTCTAATCAATTAAAAAGACAACAGTTAAAAAAAAATCCAAATTAAAACTATCAATTTAAATAATGTGTAGGTACCCAATTTACTAAGTTGACTTATTATTTTTATCTTTATGAACTCTACTTAACTCCAATCCAGTCTTAACATACATGTAATTAATAATTATCTAAAACCGGCAAACATAAATCACTGACTGACACGCGCGCACTTGCATATCAAGGTTAAATTTGCACCTAAACGAAAGCACCAAGTTTTTGTAGTAAACAATCGCACACTAAGCTATAAGCCAAAATACATCACCTCACAGCCTAGTCACGCAAATATAGTCTTTAAGTACTGTGTCGTAAGACTAAATTGATCGCACATATTCAATGGCAATAGATTTCCGTAAACAACAAACCGAAATCGGACTTCCGAAATTCGCGTCATCTACTCCGCTTTGTTACGATTGGTAAGAAAGAGACAAAGCGAATTTTACTGACTCTCGAAATTGTGAACAAATTCGCTTTCTCTCTTTCTAACCAATCGCTACATAGCGGAGTAAAAAAGATGGCACGAATTTCGAATCCGATTTACATTTAGATACGTGTGGTGGTATTAGATCGCTAGATCGATCGTTTTGGTTCGGTTAGATTTCTGAAATCGGATTTTCTTGTTGAGAAATCGTTTGGTATCGATTTGTGTTTGAAATCGGATTTTGGATTCGTTTTGATATATCGGACGCATGCCTACGTTCTGCGTCTACGACGTGCGACCAAACAAAATTATGAATGCGAAATCTTGAATCATATGACAAGAGTAATGATGTGCGACACAGTGCGCCTTGTGGTATCCGTTTTGAGTCCGAAATGCTTAAGTAATTAGAACTTATGTGTTGTCTGCTTATATTTAAATTAGTATTGCTAAGTTATTATATAGCGCTCAACTCAAAACTTGAAAATGGGCACCCTCCGGAAGTTACATACATACCTACTTGTTACCAAACCGGAAGGAAAGTTATGTCGGTCTTATTGGCTTGCTTATTGGCTAAACGCAAAGGGCTGAGACAGCATTTCAGCTCGCGTCCACTCATAAGCTTGAAGACATAACAGATAGACACACATTTTTCCGTCGGTTTTTGTCGGTTGTTAGAAGTCAGAGTGACAGTCATATATTCCGTTTTACCCTTGGGTACGTCTACAAAAAAACCAAAATACATGTGAGTCATAGGAAACTTCGAATTCACTTGAGTCAACGCAAATCCCAAACAGTGAGCAAGATAAAGCTCGTCACAGACGTAGCTATAATATATATTAATATATCGAAATATATATTATATTATAGCGAACTACCACAGACGGGAGCTATACATATATATTTTGCCCTTACTCGGTCTGCGTTCGTACTGTACCGTAATATATCTGTAGACATATTTTGGTGACGTCATAGAAATATAAGTATATTATAGCTGCGAGTGCGGTCACTCGAAAATTTATATTGAAAATATGTTGTAATAAGTCTTGCTGTGATTCATATTAATATGTGACGGACTCAAAGCGGTGACCAGCGCAGTGGTAGTACAACACTATCCAGACTTGTCAGTACATGCAGCCGCGTGCGCTGCGCTTCAAAACGCAGGTCGATAACATCGCGACGAAATACGTATAAATACCAAAGACATTCGGAAGTTGGCGGTGTTGTGTACAACGTGAAACTTGTAGTATTTTAATTCTAGTCAAACCTTTAATTGTGATATAAATTAAAAAAAACATATTTATATTTATTTGAAATATAGTTATTAAACCAATCAAATGTAAGAAAAGTAATATATTCCAGTATGGGTTTCAAATGTGCGATACAAGAATACAGGACAAGAAGAAGCAAGCGCAGACGACTAATATCTAAAATAAACGCTGAGAATAGACAGTTACGAAATATTTATAGAAAAATCAGTTTCACCAATATCGGATTTTTTATGGCATTTACGTCTACGAGGCTGATGAGGAAACGGTAAGTGACTTTTTTGTTTTTTTTTATTATTAACGGACTTATCAATATTATTCTCAGAATGTAGAATTGTTTGTAGGTACTCGAGGTGTCGACACTTAAATTTAATACACATCTTATAAGATTGCTCTAAGTTACCCGTAAGAGATCATTCATTCATGTGCTTTGTTTGGCTCAGAATATTGACTATAGGTTGTTTGTTAAGTTATGGGTTTAATAAATATGTACATACCTTATGGTAGTAATTAAAACCCCGTAATTTACCGCACACCATGAGTTAAGTTTATGGGAACCCCCACAGAACACAGAAACCTCTTTCTGTGCTCTGCTGGAACCCCCGAAAAATAAATAATCATGTATTTACTGAGATGACTAATGTAACTAAACTTTGACGACAGCTCCTTGTGTTTTGACTGTTTTCGCTGATTTAATAATAAGTGTACCCATCCTTAAAGTTTGAAACAGTTGTACACTATTTTCATTTTAATTGTGAGCTTAAAATACAAACGAGTTGTTACTAATTTTAAACTCCCGCCTATTTTTTTGAACGATTGGCATACCCGCTCTTAATATTTCCCGTCTGTTGGCACCTTAGTTCTAGAGATGTCCCTGGCTTGATTATGATTTTGGAACAAACCGATTTTTGTATCGATTATTAAATTAGTACCGTATTCTTTATTTTTACAAAGTATCTATGTATTAATTTTTTTATTTAATATTAAATAACAAAATAATAATACACAAGTCATTGAAATCAAAATGATGTTTCCACTAGTTAAGATTACATAATACATGTCATTAGGTGATATACAAGCATTTTTCTTAACATAATAACATTTTGGTACCGATTCTGGCAGGTTTCTCTAAACCTAAACTTGACCACAGTGTATTGTTGTCATTCTCTATACATAAGGAAAAGGAGAGACTGATGTTAAATTTAGTTTTAAGTTTAGAGAATCATGCCAGAATTGACACCATTTTCAAAATTACAATCAACTACATATAAAAACTACATTGAAGAAAAACGCGTCATTACAATTAATAGAAAAGTTGAATCAGTCAGGAAATCATGTAAAATAAACGTGACAAAAATGTTTAAAGAGGAATTAAGTCTGGGTTTAGTCTATGTACACTGTGTCAACCTGATTACCTTGGTCTATGGCGAATGCGCCACGATTGACGAATTTACATAGATACTTAGATACTTAACCTTCATTACGATCATTATTTGGGAATAGCTTTAGGTCAGAGTATTTTTTTTCTTTAGTAGTAGATAAATAAAACTAGTTTTAACGAGTTAATGCACGATCTTTATTTATTTATTGACGTTTCGCAGCCTTTTCAGGAGTGCATCGTCAGAATAATGAAAAACAAACTCAAACTTAAAAACAAAAAAAAAATGATTTTTTATTTGTTTGTCGAGCTACCTTCGAAAGACTTTTATTGAGCGTTCGTATATTTCATTGGGAGATTTTTAAAACTTTATTGTGTATGTATGAATTTATTAGGTAATTTAGTTAATAAAAGTACTTTATTTAAAATTCTTTTTTGTAATTTCGAATTTATTTATTTGACCCTAACTACCGTAAACTACCACGGGTTCCAAAATTGGGAGACCTTTCTGAGAAGAACCGGCGAAACAAACTCACAGAGGCTTTCTATCTCCTTCTTATGTTAAATTATGCAAACAAAAAGAACTAATAGTATCTGTTGGTCTTGCAGTGTGTGCTCGTGGTTGGGATTTTATCTCTTGTATAATGGATTCCCAAGCTGGTGGATTGGTTGGTGTGGTACTGTGATACACACCATCTTCCCCATTGAAGTTGGTTGGTGTGTACCACCAGCCACCAGAAATGACATAATCTGCCGATTGGCACAAGCGGAAGTAGCTTAAATCATTAATAAAGTGTGGTACGTGGAGTGATGCTGAAAACTGCGTATTTTCCAATTCTGGACTCTTTGCCCTTCTTAAAATTTTACCATGTTTGGTACTTAAAAAAACTATTTGTCACTACATGCAAATTGCTGAACAGTTTTGATGAAGACAGCAGTGTCCGTTTGCCATAAATCGGTACTTGCGAATCGATTTCCAATACGATTGTCGTGTCAACTACCTCTCAATACACGTCGCGTCTCTATTTCAGAAAACATCTTTAGTTTATAGTCAGTGTTTATGAGTTTTGTACTGCATACTGCATAGCGTTTAATTTTTATTGCGTTGTATTTATATAGTTTCGTGTTCGGTGTTGAAAAAGTGATATAGTGAAGTGATTGATTTGTAAAGGCAAATATTCCTTTACATGTTTGAAAAGACGAAGTGTGAGATTGAGGTTGGTGGTATAATGAGGCGCAGTGATTTTATCGCTCTTTAGCGATGTGTGGTTTTTATAAATTGAATTGAAGGTGTTTTAATAAAATTCATGGTGTTTCAAATAATACTAGGGTCATTTGTAAAGAATAGTTCGAATCATAGGGTCCACAAACGAGCAGACGGATTCTATCATGGTCGTAAAACGGTAAGTGTTCTTTCACAGCACTACAGTGTTTTTACTATGGACATTGTGAGCCTATGTTGCAATTGAAATTATGAATCTTCTTGAAATTCTACGGCTTAAATAAACAATAACAGTATAATTAATGGTAAAGGTCATGTCAAATTAAGTCTAACTGCTGTGAATTTTAAGTATTTCTTGTTTGTTTACGTTTGTCTATTAGTAGGTATTTTGTTGGGTGATCACCGTCTATCATGTTTGTGATAAAGAGATTACGATTATAATAGAAACGAAATTGAGATATCAAATAAAATATCTAAAGAATATAATTTTATACAGTTCATTGATTGCTATAAAGAATAGTCTTTTGAAGGTCCATAAACATAGATAGGTTATTAAGTTTTAACACATTAGGACACATGTATTTCCAACATTGTTATCTTAAATTTATCTTAGTGTTCATTTATGTTGTTATTATCTGATTTAAAATGTACTGATATCCATACAAAGCATCTAGATCTTCATTTATACTGAAGGAAAGAAAGTAAAATAAAAAATATATGTATATGAAAACTATTGCAGTGTAACTTCTGCCTTTATATCAATGTTTTTATTTTGTGTCACAGCAATCTGATACTTATTTTGATTTTATTTTAATATTTTATAAGTTATATTGAGTATAATCGAGCTCAGTTGTTATACTTCTGCAAAAAAGTTATTTACTACTCTTAAACATGTTGCCTTTTATTTTTGATAGACTAATACTGCTTACTTACTCAAATTATAATGGAAATTGTATAAAAGTTTGTTTGCAAAACAGAAAAATATGGCTGTTATAATTTAGATTAATTTATTATGAAAATTTACAGTTAATTAACAGGTAAAAATTCTTATGATACACTAAGGGAAGGATATAATAATACAGATAAGAATAATTATGTTTATTCCCAGCTGTCGCCATGTATTTGCCACCAGAAGCAAATGGGAATTAAATCCAATGACTATTCCCATTTGCCTCCATTGCCAATCCCCACTTCAGTTTTTTTATTCCCATTTGGCCTGGTGGCAATCCTTGCGGGTTGACCGGGAATATGAATTGAAATTATTACTCTGCAGTTATATCATTATTTATTAATATAATATTTTTTAAAAAAAGTAAAATAATATTGACATGATAATATCTTAATTGTGAAGCAACTAAACAAAATTATGTTATGGAGACCGTAATGGCCGTGTTGAATTTCCTCTAGCAGTTCTTAGGCTGGAAGGCAGCTCTATCTCTTCTCAATGTCAAAGGAATAATCTTTACAAGTATCAAACATTTGAAAGAAGAAAAAGAAATTGTATAGTATTTTATATTGAATTTTTTTAAGCATTAATTCAATATGAAAAAAATCCACTCCATTCATTCCATTCCAAAACCTGGATGGAGTGGAATTTTTCAACTAAACAAGGTGTTTCCCAAGTCATTGTATGCAGCTCATAGCCATAGGCTTCTGCTTAGAGGCTTTTGTAGATAATAATAATAAATAAATATTTCCAACACTCACACCAATAAGCCTAGCCCCAAAGTAAGCACTGTAAGGCTTATGTTATGGGATACTAGGGTAATGGATAGAATACATATATTGTACACATATAAGTATATTTATGTAGAAATACATATTAAACATCCATGACTGGAGTACAAATGCTCATATTCATCACACAAACATCTGCCCCCACCGGGATTCGAACCCGGGACCTCTCGAGTTGTGACACCATGAAACCCGGCGTATAAACCACTCGGCCACGGAGGTCGTCACAAGATAAGATCATACAACCTATAATTAATATTTTACATTATTTTATGGAGTAAGGTATTACTATGAGTTTTCAAAATTATTTCTTTTTTATTTTAAGCAAGCAATAATGCTTTATTAATCCTTACGGAGTTTCACAGAACTAGGAGCTGTAGTGCAAACATCTTGTTTGCTATGATTACAGCTAAAACATTTCAGACTAGGATATACATGAGATAGCAACTTGCAACTTTTCTACACAGTTGAGTAAAACTTCCAAAAAATGGGCTAGTTTTGAAAATAATTATATTGTATCATTATAATGAAGTACCCAAAGAGTGTTGTGGAATGTGCACCATAGGCAAAAACATAATTTCCATAAAAGCAAAAGAAATATTTTGTCTTTTATTCTCACCTTACAAGAAATATTATTTCTAGCTTTATATAATGCTATGAATCCTTGGTTTTTGTTTATTTAAATATTAAAAATTATGAATATCCATACATTTTGTCACCAAAATACCAACATTTTGTCATTTCTACCCAGATAAATTTTTAAGCCAGACAAAATCATAAAGGTGCAAACCATGGAAAGCCTAGTCTTATTCTTGGTAGTATGGTTGGCTGTTTGCCTCTACACCATGTGCCTATTTTTCGTGAGGAATGGCATCAGTCCTGTCCCTGCTCCTCCAGAAAGCCCAGCTGTGCACGGATATTGCTACAGACCCAGTAGTGTCCATAGATTTCCCATATGAGAAGCCCTTTGTCTTGCATCACTTCTCTACACTCCAGCACAGTGAGCTGTCAGAAATACCTATATTGTTTGCATGGTAACCCTATTCCCAATTTCTGATCTTTGACGCCTTTTTTTTTTCTGGGAAATGCCTTGTGTATCCTTCAACCGCCGGATTAGCGAGAAGAAGGTATGTGGGACTCCTACCTGCTCATTACAGCCAGCCCCTGGGCCGGGTGAAATGAGCAGGGCCCTACCTAACGCCCTGAACAGGGCCACTAAAAGCCAGACAATACTCCTGCACCAGTCACTGCGTACTTTCTGAGGACCGAGGGTCTCCCCAATGGACGCCGGGACTGCGGGTGTGGTCGCGGCAACCGTTGCCGACTGTCCGCGCACCCGCAAGGTGATTGTCCGCGAAAAGACTCACCCTGATGATCTTTGATGCCGTTAATTAGCCGTTTTTTCTAATGTATCCGATTTGCTCTTTGTCATGGGGAACTACTGAGACTTTTTCATTGTCCGACACCCACTTAATCGGTTTTTTTGGAATATAACGTATGCTTTGTTTTAAGCCAAGTGATAAGCTCCGAGTCTTCATCATCATCATCATCATCAGCCTATTAATGTCCCCACTGCTGGGGCACAAGCCTTCCCCATGGATGGAATAGGGAGATTGGGCCATGACCCACCACGCGGGCCCAGAGTCAGAGTCTTATTTGATCCGAATCAGGTCTGCCGTTTTGAGTGACAAACATTAAAATTTCACGCCTTAAGTATGAATAGAATTGAGGAGACTTTAAGATTTTTTTTACATACACCAAAATTATGTGCGTTCAATTTATCAATATAATTTTGTTCGTCGGGATTGTACTGCAGACGCAGGATAGTGGGTGTCGTGTCACGCGTTTAAGACATCCGAGGGTCCCACCCAATAGATTGCGCTAGTAGTAACACAGGTACAAACATTTACTTAGCACTCGTTTCTAACTGTGGCAGTTGTGACACAGTGTATAAAATTATACTATGGTTTCGATGCCGCGTTTTATTTTTAGCGCAACCTTTACATTGCGAGACCTTTTTAACCCTCGCTCATTAAATTTTCATCCGGGGCTGTATCGCGACGTCAGCGGCAGCCTCTGAGTTGGAATGTCTCATCGGCTTTCTTTAATTAAACTTTGTGTAAAGGGCTACCTATATAGATAAATTTTCGGAATAGCTTTTCGATGATACGTATACGACTTTTAATTATAAACGATTTCTCCTTTATTCAAACACACAAGGAATAATACTTAGGCCCGTATTACAGAATGACAACTCTGTAGTGTTGATCTTTACTTGAGTACAGTTAGAAAGGGATATCGCTATGTGCTATACAGGGCGTCCCACGGCAACCTCACACGGAAGGAAAGTATATTAAATATTGAAGATAGGATATTTTACTGAAAGAAGACATCATTTTATTTTTAATAATAAATAAAACTGCATTCACAGTTTTTTTAATCGCCTGTTACAACTGGGAATCAAACTCGTGAAATTTCGAAAAAAAAACACGACATATTTTATGACAACCATCGAAAGGGTTAATCATAAGCATTATTTTTTGTTTATTACATAGCATTTTAAATGAAAGAAAAGTAATTAAATTGACCATTTTATTTAAAATAATTTTACACAAACTAACATTCGGATACGCCTCAAAGTTGAGTTCATCATCGTTGGCGTTTATCATCCGCTGCTGTGGTTTCTGTAAGCGCATATCAAAACGTCCTAAATTTCAGTATCCACTAACCTTTTAAGCACATATCGAGAAGATACATCTCATCAGGCTATCTTTTGCGGTACCACCGCAAAGCTAATATGTCTTTATGGTTCATAAAGTAAGCTTCCATTAAATCCATTTTATTTTGATACGCCATGGTAAGTAAAATAACAAAAAAATGCAAATAAACGAAAATGAAACTCAAACAAAAGAACAGACGCTTGAAAAGTTGCCGTGGGACGCCCTGTACATAGCGACATCCCTTTCTAACTATGCTCAAGACTAGATCAATCACTGAGAATCTTTCTATACGTTACTGCATTCCATTTGTCATTCACTGAACAGAGACAAAACATGGAGTAACTAATCCAAGCTTATTCCTCGTTTATTAATAAGTGGGTCTGTGTACCATTGAAACTGTTAAACTAGATTTTAAAAATAAAGCCTCTGAGGCCGGTATTATAGAAAGATTCTCAGTGATTGATCTAGTCTTGAGCATAGTTAGAAAGGGATGCCGCTATATATACAGCACATAGCGATATCCCTTTCTAACTGTACTCAAGTAAAGATCAACACTTAGTTGTCATTCTGTAATACGGGCCTAAGAGGCTTTATTTTTAAAATTTAGTACACAAACAAAATTGTAATACGATAACATTATCGAAACGTGCGGTAAACACCGGGCGGTCTACAGCAATCCATTTGGTTGGAGTATGCATAAGGAACGCAATTTTTTTTTATTTCCGAG